AAGAGACAGTAAAAGAGAAGGCTGCAAGAAGTGTCTCACAGACAAAGAAACCGGAAGCAGAGGGGGAGGGAAAAGAGAGGAGAGAAAAGTGGGGGGAAAAGCTGCAAAAAAAGAAAGAAAAGAGTCAGAAAGCGAAAAAAACAGAGGCTAGAGACCTTTAGACAGGTAGGAGTGAAGAAAGAAAAGAGATAGGAAGCCGGGAAGTCTTACACTCGGGATCGCCCCACACAGCTCCAAGCGAGCCTGGTCCGAAGCGTCCAAAGCGGAAGGAAGGAAGGAAGCTTGCTTTACATTACTTCCTATGTGCAGAACTTATGAAAACCAAGGGTGTTTTATGTGTGGTATTTTTATGGTATGTTGTGCATACACAAAAAAAAAGTACTTGTACCTGGTTTTGTAAGGGCAGTACCCCAAGTTCCTCTGAAGTGCAGTTGTATGCAAACTCTAGTAATCATGCTACTTAGCTTGAGCCCCAAACTTACAGTTTTGTTAGCGAGGAGGACTGATTCTACATCACACCATTGACACCAGAAGGAGTCAGCATGACTCTTCCTCTTGCTCTGACTCCAAGAGAAGTCAGTGTGAGAGAAAGAGTCAAATTACATGCAAGAAAGATTGAAGTCTTGAATTTCTCTCTGTCCTATGATTTTCATTCTCTGTATTAAATGATTCCAGAAACTTAGCTCATATCTTTAAATATTAGCATGGCTGTTCTTCCAGTGTGCAATTGCATCTTATCATGTGAATAAATGATTAATTTAAAATTTGCCACTATATGAAGCTAGTACCATACTTACAACTATATGAATCAGCACTGGGCCAAACCCTTAGGTTTTTGGTATCAGTTCAAGTATTTATTGCCCTTTATTGCCTATCACGTCACTTAAAAAGAGCCACCAATAGGCAAGCCTTTACAGAGGACTTAAAAGTTTGCCTTGGACCTGCTTATCCCTTTTCTTTATTTCTTTATATCTATTTTTTAAAATGCAGCAGCACCAACTTTTAGAGAAATTTTATTATGGGTACTCAAAGAGTTTGACAGCAAACTCAACTGTAGGTATTTCAACCTGTTCTGCAAATGCTACCATTTGCAATGGCACATCTTGTGTGCTACCTGAGAATAATTTTAACAAGATTTTGAATGTAATTTTAAGTACTGTCTTAACAGTCATGTTGGCATTGGTGATGTTCTCCATGGGCTGCAATGTGGAGATAAAAAAATTTTGGGGGCACATAAAAAGACCATGGGGTATTTTTGTGGGCTTCCTCTGTCAGTTTGGAATTATGCCTCTCACAGGCTTTGTGCTGTCTATTGCCTTCAATGTGAAACCTATTCAAGCTGTTGTAGTGCTCATCATGGGATGCTGTCCAGGTGGAACTTCTTCCAACATCCTAGCATACTGGGTAGATGGTGACATGGATCTAAGGTAAGAGCCTCTCCTCCGTAAAGAGACAATTTTTTTGTTCAGTACGGTAAATTTTGTTTCAGGGACTATACATATCTGTTCAGTTCAAAGCACATTAAGGCCTGGAAGCCTGGTTGAGGCTTTCAGTAATTATTATGAACTTTATAAGCAAAAGTCAATGAATATAGCATAAGGCAATAACCAGTTTTTAATCTAATGTCCTATTAAAGAAATCACTAATGGAAAAATATTTATCCACCTTCATGTTCTACAAAATGGGTAGGCTTGGAAAGTTTACCCTTTTATAGCTAACAAAAACCAAAATTATTCATGATAATTCTGTCTGCTTCTAGCACTATGCAAAATTTTCAAACTGAAGGAATGCTTTATCGGATACAAGCCACAAGCTGGTGCAGTCCTGTCTACTGGGTGCAATGAAAAAAGCTCCTTCGTGGATGTGATGATCTCAGTGGCAGGTCACTTGGCTGCAACTTCAAGACTCTGTGAAGTCAGAAATTGTGATATGTCAGGCAGCTGGCATGTTCACAGACATCAAACACAGGGTAGAATTGAACCCTGCTCTTGATGGAAATCCCAAGATGCATTTTTTAATTCTTTAGCTCTAACAGCCTTTACAAATGAGCAATATTTTTTTAAATAATCCTGATTACTTTGTTCTAAAATAAACATCATAGTCTCTCCACTTCCCACAGAGTATCATAAATTACAGCATTCATCCAATTTATTATATGCCAGTCTGAACTAGCAATGGAAAAACTAATAGAAGTAGGAGAGATGTGAAACTACGGTGAACAAGCTAAGAATTTTAATATTTGCAGCTTTAATAAGACATTTTTTCCATGTTATGCAAACAATGAATTTCTCTGTAACATACAGGTGTTAATGCAAGATGTGGTTTTTTAGTACAGTATATAATCAACTCTGCTAATCACCAGCTTCCTCACTGTGGAGAAAAGACCTATAATATAAATTGCAAAGTACTTTATTTCAATAAAGTACAGCTCTGACAAAACCACAAATGGAAGGAAATTCAGCAATAAAGCTGAAATTCTGTCACGGTCTTGACCCATTTCACCTAGGAAGAACAGTGCCCATAGAACCAAATCTTTCTGTCACACAAGTATACATGTAGAGTAACTCCACTGAACTCAGTGGTATAAATCTGGACTGACAGTGAAATAAATGAAAGTAGAATCTGGCCCTAAGTTTTTAAGAAGCTTCTCGAAGGAAGACTTATATATTAAAACAGCTGTAAAGAAACAAATTGTTCTAATCTGTTGTTATAGTTACTGTTATTGTTATTGTTGTGATATAAAATCCACAAGAAAAAGTAAGGGGTCAGGTGATGGTCCCCATATCAAGAAATTCAGATACAGTATTTAAGGTAAACAAAATAGTAGCAGATTTACTCTCCTAAGAAATTCACAAAGAACCAGCTCAAATGCTATATGTTCCTCCAATGAAGAACCAGATGCTGTAATGCCTTCATCCATGAGTAACCCTACAAATAACAAAGTGATCTTTTTGGGAAGGTGGGAGAATATACAGCCTGCTTGTGCTACCTCCCCATTTTATGAAGCTTCTATGCTTTGTCTCTCTTACCAGTTGACTACACCAATACTGTAGGTCTACTAAGCTACCCCACTACTGCAGCTGGGAACTATGAATGCAGCCCATGTGAACACAGCCAAGCTAAGCTAGCTTAAATCTAACTAGCTCAAACATCAATAATAGTGCCATGGCAGCATGGCTTCAGCACTGGCTGTACAATCTCAGACCTGCCCCACAGCTTTAAGGCAGATAACACTACACCATTGCAGCTTTCAGCATGGTTGCTAGATTGATTGTGTTTATCTACACATGCTACAAGCACACCTTCAAGTTAACTGAAAACCCTTTGGATGTGCCTGCATCATGGTCTGAGTGAGGTCATCAATGCCTATGAAGAAATAAGGCCACCCTGTGTCTACAGGCTTGCAAATCTCAGTTGAGATCTCTGCACTGTGGTACAACTGATAACAAATGAACAGGGAAGTTTTCTGACAGTAGGAGTTACTGCAACATCTTGCTGGGGTCATCCGATCCCAGCAGTCTTTCCTGCTCAAGTGCAGGGGGGGTGGACACGATGATCTGTAAGGTCCCTTCCAGGCATGCAAAAACTATGAAATTTGAGGCTTACTTTTATCCCAAGAGTGTGTTCTGGCACTATGCTCAGGGTCTCAAGACTATGCCAAGCTGTTTGCACTGCAAATTTGAGAGTGTGGATACATGTGTAATGGGTGTGAGTGAACTGGAGCTTATTTCTTTGTCAGAGTGCCAGACTCGCTCATAACTAGGGATCTAATTAAAAAAAAAAATCCCCAATTTTTGGATTAAAAAAAGTAACCCAAAAGCCACATTTTTCCATGATTAAAATGAAACACCAATAGATAGATAGATAGATAGATAGATAGATAGAGTTTCACTTTAATCACAGAAAAATGTGGCTTTTGGTTACTTTTTTTAATCTGAAAATTGGGGGGGGGGGGGTTAATCAGAGAAAAGCAGAATTCCTGCTCATAACATGATAGGGACAAACACTTCAGGTCTCTAGAAGTCCTGAGAGAGGCCACTGGGAACACATGCAAAACAGCCTCAACATCACATTGGGATTGGTGCATGCAAGCAGTAACAGGTAGGCAAGACAAGACCCATGGGAAATTCAGTGTGAACCATTTACAATACATACAACAGAATAAAGCTGAAGTTTCTGCTTTCACTTGGAATTTTTCTTTTTTCAGGAAAAGCAGAGCTCTGAGATTTCTTCAACTCAGTTTTGTGTATATATGCAACAAACTGATTGTAGCCAGTAGCATTTCTTGTGCAATGTTTCATAAGCTAGTAAACTGCAATAAGAAAATGAGAGGACCCACTGGAAAGAATGAGATGCACTGTAACCCTATAACTCATTTCTTTGCAGCATCAGCATGACAACATGTTCTACCTTACTGGCAATGGGGATGATGCCACTTTGTCTCTTTGTGTATACCAAAATGTGGACAGACTCTGGCTCAATTGTACTCCCCTATGATAGTATAGGTGAGTCAAGCAAATCACTCTTTTCCTTTTACCCGTCTTCCATGTTCTTCCTTTCTTGATATCAACCATTTTTTGTACCATCACCATACAGTGTCAGACTGATAGAGACTCATACGTTAAAGGTATTTTTAAAGGTAGATTTATGGGATCTAGGTGCTTACATGCCTTTAACAATCTAGCTGAAATGGACTCAATAACTTCACATCTTGCAAGATGGAACTCTAAAACTATTACAAAACTGGTACAAATACTTACCACAGGGTTGTGCAAATCACTATACATGAATGCTGTCATAACCTTTTTTGGAAATGTGGTGAAAATATAAAATAATTCAGGTTTAGAGGTTTGCCCTGACCTGAATTAAATCTGGATTGGGGCGGGGGGCACAAATCCCACAAAGTGAGTCCTGTGATTATGACCCAGCAAAGTAAACAAAAAAAAGGCCAAAGTTCTGCCTGGGACTAGTAATGGTTTCTGTAACCAATGGGATGCAAGGATTTGATATAGATAGCATTATATCTGGCTGCCTTTGACTCCCCAACATAAATAACCAATTTATAACTGCGGGCAATATTCAGCCAAATCTGGAACTCTGAGGCTATAGGGAAGCACATTAAGTAATCTTCCCCCACGCCCTCTAAATATGTGCCTGCAATTAAGTGTGCAATTAAACTCACTGAGTATGGTTGCAACCCTGAAATCTAAAGGAAGTGACAAAAAGGCACCATCAGGAATTTGACTTATGGCTTAATTTGATTCCACACAGGAAACCTCAGCCTGCCACAAAGCAGAAATTGTGGATGGTTGCTTGAATTAACTGAGAATATGCCTACACTTAGAGTTCAGAACAGACTTAAATGCTTTCCAGTACTGAGCCTTTAATGCTTACTGTTATAGGATCCAAATCTGTTGCCAAAACTTATTCATTCTCCATACAGGCACAGTCACTATTATATACTTTTTAAGTTTAGTTCAAAAAATAATCATGAAACCTGTTTATGTTTTATAAAATCAATAGCAAGGAAAAAATGCCCTCAACAAAACAAGTTCTAGCTGGGTGCTGTTATAGTCCAACAGAAACACCTGCAGGCAAAATGAACATGTAATACTACAATAAATAAATAGTAGATCACAGGATAGTAATGATTAACAAGCTGAAAGTGCTGTACGGTATTTGAATCCAGGTGGGTGAGCACATAACTTTGTAACAGAATTACAATTAACTCAATTGGTTGCCAAAGATAATACACTTCATAGTAAAGAATGTGTCCACGCGTGTGTATGTGTACAACAGACGCCTGCTATTTCAATTTGTTCTGTCTGTTTATTGTATGTTTCCTCATCATAACTCTTCTTTTATAAATGTGATTTAATCATATTGCAGGAATTTCACTGGTGGCCCTTGTCCTTCCTGTTTCGCTTGGAATATATGTTAACCATAGATGGCCCAAACAAGCAAAAATTATACTTAAGGTAAGATATGATAGCTATATACATTTTTAAACCACTATTTATTATAGGCCAGATTATGGTTTTTGTGGCACTTCTTGAGTAATGCATCACTACAAGGGTTGTAACTGCAATGAAATTCACAGCAGAAAACAAATAAATATCTTCTTGCTTATAAATGTATACATTTCATACATTATTGTTAACCAGCATTCATCAGTGAGTGATTTAATATAGTGTGTGTGTGTGTGTGTGTGTGTGTGTGTGTGTGTGTGTGTGTGTGTGTGTGTGTGTGTGTGTGTGTGTGTGTGTGTGTGTGTGTGTGTGTGTGTGTGTGTGTGTGTGTGTGTGTGTGTGTGTGTGTGTGTGTGTGTGTGTGTGTGTGTGTGTGTGTGTGTGTGTGTGTGTGTGTGTGTGTGTGTGTGTGTGTGTGTGTGTGTGTGTGTGTGTACACTTGGTTTTTTTCAGTGCAGGGCTAACCTAAATAAACAAAAAAATATAATCCATACAGTTTAATCTCAAAAAAATATATAATTATCATAAATAGGAAAGAAAAAATAATTTGGCGATTTTTGTAATTACATTTTAGCAATTTTTTCAACGATTATTTCATTTTCAAACAAAAAACCTGAAATGGTATATTTTAAAAATGTTTAAATAAAAATTTTCACCTTCTAATCTTTTTCCAGCTCAGATTAGTCATAAAATTTAACCCACATTCACAGATAGCTTTAGTACCCCCAAGCAGCACTTTTTGATACATAAAATGATCAAAATAAAATTGCCCAGATCTACACATTACATTTAGTGTTAACAGAAATGGAATTATTATAGCCCCTATCTTATTAAGTTCTAAGTGTTTCAGAGAGGTGCTGAGCACACTCAACTTTCATTAATTATCCTTTAATTAATATGAATAGGCACTTACCTCATTATCTGTCACCCTTTACATGGTACAAGATCAACACAAAAATTATCTGTATGTCAAACATGTTGTATTTATCTGTAGCTACTAATACATGTGGGCACTATCAAGTCTTTGGTCCAAAAAGGTACTTATTCCTATTATATTCATTGTTAGGGAAAGGCACCTTAAAATTGGTGATGTGCCCTTTAAACATATTTTTGCAGCACTAAATGAAAGAAGAAACCATTTTAAATGCTTATTATCAAACACATAAACAAACACAAGGTTCTGTAAGATCAAAAATGATATTCAGGCGTAGCTTGCCTTCTGTAGTGCAATGAAGCATCAAGTAAAGACCAGATAAAGCAGACAGAGCTGACAGACTTGAGCTCAGATAATGGCAAATGAGGAGATAAGAGTGCAAATAAAATACAAGAAGTAAAATCAAACCAGATTTTCACAGCCAGACCCTATTTCTCTCTTTCAGAAAATTCAGTCCAAAACCCAAAGAGGAATTTTTGCATTATTTCACTACTAAAAACCACAAAACATTTGTGATTAAATTTTTATTGCAAAAGCATCGCTTTAAATACAGGATTTTTAGTTATCATTTGACTGAATACTTTAATGGAATCAAAACTTCTCACCATCAAAAAGGCTACATAAAGCTGTCCATGTGTAAACAGGCTTAGGAATATAAATACATATTTTGTCAAAAGTCTGACCTTGTGACTTGTTTATAGTCATAGAATAAGAGGGCCCTTGTATAAGGGCCCTTGTACATGTGAGGAAATTACCCCTTTTAGTGGTTTAATTGTCCTTTTTAAGGATTTAATTGCATAACAGTGCACACATTCAGCAGCATGTTACAATTACATCTTGTAACAGTACACACATTTGGCAGCATATTTCAATTTAAATGACTTTTTTATGTAGCAAACTAAAACACGTCCCATGTATTTTAGTTTGCTACATAACAAATTACAGTGATATTCCTCATGTGTACAAGGGCCCTATCCAGAGAAGGCAGCAGGGACAGTGCATGGGAGGCTGGAAGCCCAGGTGTGCTCAGGAAAGCTTGGGTTTAGCAGGCTTCCAGCACCCCATGCACCATCTCCAACACCTTCTCCAGCTGCCAGCACAACCAACCACCCTCCTACCACCTTCCTGGGGCAGACAGCCCATTCCTGGGCAATCCCAGGCAGCAGAAAAGTGGCAGAGACAGTACACAGGGCGCTGGAAGCCACCCAAGCCCAAGCTTCCACAAGCATACCTAGGCATCCAGCACCCTGCACACTGGTGGATCTGGCAACCTGGGGCTGCAACCGTGCAGCTAACACCCTGCCCAGATGGCCCTGGGAGGCCTTGGAGAGAAGCACTGGGCCCTCCACAGCTCAGGGGCTGTGCAACCCAGAAGTAGTTCATGCAGGCAGGCTCCACTAAGGGAAAAAAAAGGTGGTGAGGGGCCTGATCTTATTTACTTTTTTCTCTCAGAGCCTGCCTGTTTCTCCCGTGGCCAGGGACTGACCTGCCAGTGAGTCATGCAGCCCCTGAGCTGCACGGAACCCCAGTGCTTCCCTCTGCGGTGGCAGCACCCCTGGGCAGCACCCACCTACTGGCAGCCCACAAGGGTGGTCCCAGGGGTGCTGCTGCCATGGAGGGAAGAACCGGGGGCCCCCACAGCTCAGGGCCTGCCAGCAGCTTGCCCCCCAGCTGCAGGAGAGCTGGGCAAGCTCCAAGGGGGAGGGGGGGAAAGGATTGGGCCCCTCACCACATTTTTTTTTCCCTTTGGCAGAGCCTGCCTGCTCCACAGTGGAGAAGCCCAGTGCTTCATTCTAGCTCTGACTTGCCTGCTTAGCCTGTCTATCCAGAGCACTCTGATTGGTTGTTTCAGTTGCCAAAACAATCAATCAGAGTGCTCTTGACAGACAGAATAAGCCTATTATTATTATAGATTCTTATAGACCACCCCCCCCGCTCCACCAAAAACCATTAAAACTAATGGGATGTCTACAGCCCAAGTTTACACAGCCAGGCAGTAGCAATCCCAGCTACACAGGTATTTTGCATATCCATAGCCAGTACAGGCATGTTTGCTATATTAACATTGCCTCTCCACTGTCTCAGCAGTGCTAATTAGATGGCCTACATGAATTAAGCTGCATAGATTCAATATCAGGAGGGCATGTACTTCTGTATTTCACGGTGTATAAGTCAAGGTTTGAAGCCCAAATATTGACCTTTAAATTTCCACCTCAGCTTTTACACCATATCCAGGGCCTGGCTGGGCCAGCACACAGTTTCCAGGCAGGGCTGCTGCTGCCACTGCTGCAGCTGCCAGGGTACTCAGCTGTCCTGGCATCCAGCAGCTCCTTGTCCCCCTGCTCCAGCCCTCAGGGCATCAGGTAGGGAAGTGGCAGGGATGGGGGAGCTGCAGTGCAGTGTGTCAGGCTGAGGCTGGCAGAAGCATGGAGTCTGCACTCAGGGGGGTGGTGGGAGCACAGAGCTTGGGTGGGCAGGGTGTGGGTGTAGGGGAGGATGTGGGTGTGGGGGAAGTCACATGCACTGGAGCTGGCTGCCTTCCCCCCTCCCTGCCTGCGTGCAGTGGCAAGGAGTTCAGCTTGCCCAGCCTGCCTCTATCATGCTGCTTGCAGGGGCCAGGACTGGGGCCAGGCTCAGCAGTCATCTGGCACGACCCAGGCAATGCTGGCCCCAGCCCCTGAGAGTGGTGCTGCCTGGGCTGTGCCAGCCAAGCACCAAGCCTGGCCCCAGCAAGCAGTACAACCTGGGCCATGTCAGCCAAGCCCAGCCCCAGCCCCTCCGCCTCCAGCAGTGTTGATCTCACATGTATCCACCTCCTAGGTGTCCTACTTGCAGTGAGGGTGTGCAGGGGCCAGTATAAATCAACCCCAAATTTCTGATCCAAAAAGTTAGGTCAACTTATACACCAGATCTATGAAAAACCTAACTTTTTAAATCAGAAAAATGGGGTCGACTTATACACTGCATCGACTTATACACCATGAAATACGGTATGCCATGTTTGAGGGCACTGCTGCCTGACATGGTGAGTTTGCAGTGTAGACACCCACAAATCTTTCAGTTATACACCTCCAAATGGTCTTTTACTAAGGCTGCTGTTATGTGTTATTCTTTAAACCATTCTCAATCTGTGGAATGTTAGTGTTAAATTTCGAGCCGCTTCAGAGGAGTCACACATTAAGGCTTAATGCCATCTCTGACCTGCACAAGTGTGACTTGAGGGCCTGGAGAGCAGAGGCATGGCCAAAAGCCAGGACTCTATCCCCCTCTGGGAGTAGAGCCCAGGAATTAAGCATGGAACCTAGGGAAACATACCACCCTGGGCTCCATGATCTCACCATGGTCGGTTCTCGGCAGCCCTTTCCCTCATTCCCCTTCCCAGGAACACTAGAAGCTGAGGAGGGAAGCCAACTGCCCCGCCCCCCCCAAATTCTCCTGGCTTGGGGAAAGCTGCCCAGATGTGGGCCAAAGGGTTAGCCCTCTAAGGAAAGGGCCATGTGCTCAGCCCCCAGTCCGGGGGCCTGGTTTGGGTCTCCTGGGGTCCTTGGAGTCAGCAGTGTGGTGCCATGTAGGTTGAGGTCATACCTGCTGGAGGTGGGTAGACATGTTGGTTTGGGGCCAGTACAACCCCCTAGGCAGTATGGCTTGAGAGGGGGGAAAGTTTGTCAGGGGGAGAGGGGTGGGAATCCTGCATCTTGAGATACCGGATGACTTCAAGTCAATTGCTTTTTCTCCATAGAGCACATTAACAATACCCTAGCTCAAGCTAGGTAGAACAGCTCAAAGATAACCCTCACCTAGCTTTAATACACTTAGAGAGTACTTAGTACAGTTTAACACACTTTAAAGCATGAATGCTACCATTTTAAGTGTCTTTATGATGGTTTAAAGGTAACCTGTTACATCACCCTTAGTACACTACCCAATTTTTGAGTGCCAATATTAAAATGAACTGTGAGAGCTATGCATAGTATCTTTGAATATGAATATAATAAAGATACCACTATGCATGTTTAAACTGTGGCCAGTTTATTTGATTGAACCACAGTCTCTTCTACTTATCCCTTTATTTTCTCCCTTCAGGTTGGTTCCATTGTTGGAGCAATTCTCATAATACTCATAGCTGTGGTTGGAGGAATACTGTATCAGGGTTCCTGGACGATTTCCCCTGAACTGTGGATCATTGGGACCATATTTCCAGCTGCTGGTTACTCTTTAGGCTTTTTCCTGGCTCGCATTTCTGGTCAATCTTGGAACAGGTACAGATTGCTCTATAACTCAGAGTTTGTAATCTTATTCCAGTCATAAAAGAAAATTGGCCCTATAACTGATATTTTTATTTAGTGATTAACCAGTGATAATAAACTCCTAAGACCTAGCTACTCCACCAAATCTCCCTCTCCTTGACACAACGCCTATGAACATGCATTAAGATGGGACTTATGTTCTGACTTTTTTTCTTTATGGCTTCTGATTTCTCTCAAATTTCACTAAACTGTCCCTCTGTTTCCCCTTATGTGTCCCTAGGCCCCACTGACTCCCCAACATGTGTGCACAGAAGGGATCTGACCTACAAGTTGATTGGGATTGCAGTTAAATGCCCTCAAAGCAGAGGGTTTAAGTATCTCCATCTGCCTGACACTTTCATGCCAGATGTATTCCCCCCCTCCCCGACCTGGCAATTTCTTTTCTCCTTTGCAACAAAGAAATTTTCACTTTTACTGCATCACTATTATTACCAGGGATCCTGCTTTTCTCTGAGAAAAAAAATCCCCAATTTTCAGATTTAAAAAAGTAACCCAAAATCCACATTTTCCTGTGATTAAATGAAACACCACTATATATAGATAGAGTGGTGTAAAAGTCTGCACTGCAGCTCCCCCACCCCACCACTTCCCTACCTGATATCTATATCTATCTATAGTGGTGTTTCATTTTAAACACAGGAAAATGTGGATTTGAGGTTACATTTTTTTATCCAAAAAATTGGGATTTTTTTTTTGTCAGAGAAAACCAGGATCCTTGGTATTACCCATGCTACATGACCTGCATTCACCCCTTCATTTACAATGTGGCTATACTCCCATTCGTTCAATTTTTTTCCCTGCCCTGTCCAATAATTCATGCTATGGGGTTTGTTAACTTTCCTGTGTACCACTAATTATTTGATCCCAGACCCCTTGACTTTTATGTAGAAACTCCCATTGACTTCAATGAACATTGGATTAGACTCCAAATTCACTGCATAGTCAGTGAGGCACCATCAGGAGGAAGATGTTACAATTAAGACATTAATGTAAAAGAAAACCCTGCATTAATGCAGAGAGCTTTGTGCACTTGCAAACAATGTTCTTTCTAATGCATACCCTTCACTGAGGTGCATGACTTGTGGAATATTTTATGGATTATATGAATTGGAGTGTTCTTCCTGATCTATTACCTTTGGCCGTATGTTTCTTTCATATCTGTATTTCTGCAGAGTACATTGATGCCAGAGGATATGACATTTTTCTTGTATTATTCCCCTTAGATGTCGTACAGTAGCTTTGGAAACGGGCATGCAGAACACTCAGCTGTGTACAACGATTGTGCAGCTCTCCTTCACCCCTCAACAGCTTGCACAGATGTTTACTTTTCCACTTATCTACAGTATTTTCCAGATGCTATTTGCACTGATATTTTTAGGAGGTAAGCCACAGACATCTTCCTTCAGAACACTGTGACTATACATTGATAACTTTATTATTAATAGTACTTTTATTTTATGTGGATAGTCACGAGAATATGAGTGGGCAGTTTAAAAATACTAATAACTAAAGAAAAATGGTTAAATGAAATAATAATCCAGATCCTCATTGTATACAACATATAAAAAAAGACATAAATCTCAGTTCTGGGTTCCAGCTGATGCCTAAAGGTATTCTAAACCACCTGGAATTGGCCACCAGGAATACACCAAATTGTAAGAATCCTCTGGAAAACATACCAGAGGAGTAGCCAAGGCACAGAGGATGTGTACCAGGGTGCAGAGGATATGTGACCAGGACACAGCGTATCTAGCTATTCTGAGCTGCTATTACAACCCACTAAAGGTAGGAAAGATGCTGTAAGGGATGGAGAAATAGACTGGGACCTTAAGGGACCTGCATGCAGTTTCTGGCTCAGCCACAAACTTGTTACGTGATTTTAGTCCACTTAATGCCTCTGCTTCCCAGCTGTGAAAATAGGGATGTCATAAACATAAAATCCATGAAAGGTCCTGAGGCATGTGTGCACTTCAGTAACACAGGGCATATAAATCCTTAGAGAGAGAGACACCCTAGCTTACCCTTCCACAGTGATATCCTCAACCCCATGTCTGGGCCTTCATGGCATGTAAGTAGGCCAGAGCAATATAAAACAGTTCCAAAAGTCTCAGTTCCAGGCAAGGAAGAGTCTCCTGACACAGGCACATTGAAAGATGGCTGTAAGGCTTCAGTAACTATTCACATGTCCCAATGCTGGGGTGGTAAGGTTATGTCTGCAGTTGGGCACAGCATGTAATACTACAGAGATGCAGGATGTAGCCTGTAAGGCACCTAGAAAAGTGACTATACTCCAGACTAACCAACACAACTGTCAGGATTATGCCATCTGTCTCTCCACTCCTCAGAGCAGCCCAGGGTTGGGAAGGAAGACCAGTAAAGCCACTTTAGCCCCACATTTACCCCCACCAACCCACCACTTGCAACTACTGTCCAGTTCTACTAAACTGTTAATGTGCTTCCCTGTGTGTCCTCCAGCCCTACTGGCATCCTAAGGTGTACACAGAAGGGATATGACATACAAATTAGTTAGGAATGCAATTAAATGCCCTAGAAACAGGAGGCCCAAATGTCTCCATCTGCCTGATGCTAGCATGATGGATGTGTTTTCTCCCATTTGCAATTTTCTTTCTCCTTTGCCACAAAGAATTTTTCACTGTAATTAACCTCCAGCCAGGAAAAAACTTCCTTCAGAGTTGTGTGTTACCCTCAGAGCAGACTCTCTGGAACTACCAACACCCTCCTGGCAGTGCACACAATGCAAATCTCCTAGCTATTCTCAGCAAAAGGCAAGACTGTGAGATTTGGTACTAAACCTCTGGCTTGCCATCGACAGCACTGCCACAGGGTGTGGCATCAAACCTACAACACAGCCTCAGCCAATAATCCAAGGAATGCAATTGTGGCATCAACCATTCTTGCCCCACTGGTTCCACGCCTGTCCTAAGCACAGCTCAGTTACAACTGAGAACCACTGGCATGGAGCCTTCCCCATTCTAATGCAACCTTCTAAATATAACAACCATCCAGTCACCTAACACACCACTTGATCAAATAGCCAAGATAAAAATCAGCCCTAAACAAAACCCAATACAGGGTTTTTTCTTTATGTTTAAAACAAACTTGTTCAATGATAAGTTATGGTTAAAGGCTTTGTGTAACTTAGACTTTGTTTAGAGAACAATAGCTAGTATTAAGATGATAAATGCCTTACAGCAACATCTTACTACAGTAGCTTCTCCAGCTTCTCATTATGATTTGTGCATCTAATTCAAAATATGTATTGATTCGTAGCCTACCAAGCACACAAAAGATGTCAAGGCACAACAAAAACAGACTTCACTGAAGAAGAAGATGAAACAGAAACAAAATCTGAGTCATTATATGCCAACATGAATGGTGGATTTACATCAAATGAAAAACAGATAGATAATCATGTTTCTGTGGACACCAAAGAAAATGTATAAAATATATGGTTTACTCAAAACTTTTGCTTATGAATCATTGCTGACAGGGAAATATTTATCCCAAGAAGACTTCCTATTGACATTGTATAGAAGACTTGAAATGATTGATTTGTGAAAGGTCTCTTTATGGTTTGGCCTTTGATTCTGAATGAAGTTTTTCCCTCCAGGATCAAATTCATTTGCTAAAATATTTAATGTTTCATAATGGGCTAGTATGTCAAGGCTGAAAAGTAAAGCTGCTATTGCTGAGAAATGGCATTTTCATTACTGACTTAAGCCCTGATCCTGCAAATAGATCTGCCAGTAATAACCCTGAATTAATGAGAAGTCCTTCCAAGAGGCTTGAATAGGTGCAGGGGTCCATGTGGCAGATGTAACATAGGATCGGGGTCTTATTGTGAACATAAAACAGCACAGAAAAGGAAAACACATAGAACAAAGAACTAAGCAATGTTTCCTTCAGGTCAGTACGTGCAGCCTAAAAGCTATTGTGTTATAACAATTGAGTGCTATTAATAAGGAGTGTTATTTTTTGTTTTCAATATGAGAGTTGTGTTATTTATCATTAGAATAGGTATAGCCAGGACTAGAGTTCTGCAGAGCAAGTCAATCCCCTTGGTTTCCCAGTGTTCCTCCACTTATGTGGAGCTTACAGTGGGTTTACTGCTCATTGTTTTGTATGAGGGTCTAATAGACGTATTTTCAGTATTTGCATAATCTCATATGATTTCAAGCCATCCCTTGGAAAGAGGGTTAAGCAACAAAAGTGTTAATTTATTCAAAAGCTATTACATTAAAAGGTATAAAAATACTCTGGGTCACCATTTTTGTGCCCACTTGAATTTCAGTAACCATTGTATGCCTTCTGTTCAGGCAATTTAGCTATAAAGGTGCCAGATGTGCTGTTGTAATCAGCCATGTAAAGATACAAATTAGACAAAATATGGCAAGAAATAATTTTGGATAAAAAGGGGAACCCATAATTATTTGCCCCTGCAAACTGAAAACTACGTAATGAAAATCTGCCCGTAGCTAGATGGGTACACAATTCCAAGTAAAATTACTTTGCACAATAACTTTACACTGCATGGCTGTGAACTCCAAATACACAATACCCATAATCCTGCAGCGTTTATACAAGGAAAACGTCCAGTGAAGTCTATAAAAGCTTGGCTGAATACGGACTTCACAAGTGGGCCAAATATCAACACATGGAAACTATCAATCTCTTTCAGGTTTGTCCAATACAAGTGAACATTTCTAGATGCTGAGTTAATGGGATAACTTTTTTACTTCAGAATTTCTATCCAAATTATGCATTTTACAAACACAGTTTAAATTTCCACCACAGCAAAATCGTGCCCAATACCAAGCAAAGGGTGAATTACTTGATATACCAGATGTGTACAAAAGAGTCTTAAAATCTTTCGAAGTCTGCAATAGTATTGGTCTCAGAGTTAAGAGCACTCAGAACCCTGAAGTAAGTGTTCAGCAGTTAGCAGGATCTGGTCTGTAACACCACCCACGCTTTTATACCTCAAATAGTGAAAGGACAGGTAAACCACAGATCATAACCGTAAAAAGGCAAAGTCAGCGAGAAGAGGATAAGCTTTTGATTCCAGTGCCTGCAAGAAAATATCTGTGGGCCTTATCCTGTTCCCATTAGGTCAACAGAGATTTTTCCATTAGCCTCAGGGAGCTGACTATATGTTTGTTCAAAATGTGGAAGAAAGAAATTTGGTTTTGATCATTTAGTATTCCTTTCTGATATGGTAAAGCTAAAATAACACTGAGCTTTCAAAATGAGAGTTTTCTATATGAGTTTTAAATGGATTTTGGAACTATAGTATAGTAAAGCTTGTATCACCTGAAAGCATGTATGTGTGTATTTAAAATAAGCATGTGTAAATAGTTTGAAATAAATAAACTAAAAGAATATTTGCAATTTTGGTCACTGGAATCATCTGAGATGGAAAGAACCCAGCTCAATTTATTTTGGTGTGAAAACAATGAGCAGACAACAACAACAGATGACAAGGTCATGTTCTATAGAGTCACTTTTCAGAGCAGAATTGGATGTTAAGTGCTTTGGGCCACATTCTCTGTATCCTTTAGTTTGATTGTGCTATTCCAGCAGAGAACAGCCCTTAAGAAGACAGTGCTACTGACTCCCTAGCAATTAACTTAGTACAGGAAAATCTCCCATTCACAATTAATTGCTTGATACTTTCTCCTCTCACCGACTCCAGCACAAGCGTTGTGTCAGGGAAATGGAGTACAGATGGAATACCATTGCTTTCTGACAAGCCACATTGGTTGAACAGAGCTTGCTGGGACTTTAGAGCCTCAGCCCTGAAGTTGCTCTCAGTTGCACTGAAAGCTGAGGCTGCTCTGCATTACAGGTCAGAAACATGCAAGGCAATATTTGTTCCTGGCTATGTATTTGCCTCAAAAGAGTCATAAAGTCATAAAAAGTGGAATATATTTCCCTGGCTAGTTTTAGCAGTTACCAGTTCAGTGAAAACTACAGGGCAAAGCCTCAAATTGACATAAAGATCCTCTGGAGCATGGTGATTTTGTTAAACTGAAAACATGACAGAAGCTAAAAAAGAGCCTTAAAATTGAATGCTCTTAGTATCCTGTGATCCCTGTGTTAATTATTATTGTCTTACAAGATTATAACTAGATATGAATCTTTAAAAGCATGTGAGGCAAAGCAAGAACCAAGTTATTATGAGTCCAGTTCCCTGGTCCAACATTGCTTCTGTGATGCTGCACTGAAAAGATGGTTGTAAGAAAGGCACTACCCAATATCCCTTCCCACTAAAAGGATAAGTACAGATGTTCAAAAAGCCCAAGCCTGAATTGATTCAATCTTTCCAGGTAAATCTACCTGTCATAGTTTGAACCAATTTGCAAGACAATAGGCATTCTCTTTTGATCCTGGAAATGCAGCCACATGTCTGGAGGGAAGTGGACCGGGGGCTGGAGCATAGCCAGGCCCTGGGTTTAAACCCCCACCCTGGCCTACAGGGACCCCAGCCAGGATGTGCCTGGAGGGGGAAAGGGTAAGTACCCCCTGCCAGATTTGTCCCCGAGGGGATTGCATGGCCAGACACCGGCCTGGGAAGTGCCTCAGGCAAAGCGGGGCAGGGAGGGGAATTAAACTCCCCTGTCTCCCCTCTCTCCCACCAGCACAGGACCCCAGCCTGGGTCTGCCCAACTTTTCTCTCTGCTGGCTGCTCATGTGGCAGGAGGCATGGCCAGAGCCAGCCCAGGTAGCAGCCTCAAGCAAAGTGGGGACAGGGAAGGGAATTAAACCCCCCTGACTCCCCACTCGGGCATAGGGACCTCAGCCCAGATCTGGCCTGCTTTCCCCCCTGCTCACCACTTGTACAGTGGGGGGAGTGGCCAGAGCCCACCGGGCAGCAGCCTCAGGTGAAGTGGGGGAGGGAAGGGGATTAAATCCCCCATGTCCCCTCTCTCCCACTGGCACAGGGACCCCAGATGGAGTCTGCCCAGCTGGCCATTCACATGGCCTGAGCCAGCCTAGACAGCACCTCATTACTGCTCCTGATCCCCTCTCCCATCTCTCAAGGGGTCAGTCAAGAATTATCCATCTGTTGACCTGGAGTTTGCTGGCTCCCCAGAACAGAAGCTGGGAGCGGCTTGTTGAGACACAAGGGCGACTGTGCCCTGGGGTTCTGCCCCAAACAGATCCCTCTGCTGCTCAGGCAGCTGCTTGTCTGTACCAGCGTGGTTTGTGCAGCCCCCATCCCTGCTCCAGCCAAAGAGCAGAGGGGTGGAGCCAGTTGCTTTCAGGAGCAGACCAGCCCAGGGCTGCAGAGCATGCTGGGATGCTGGGGGACTCTGATTTAATTTAAACCAGGAAGGGGTCTGGAATACAAGTTCCATAAACTGGTTTGACCTCAATCAGTTAGGTCTGATACTACATTCAACCAGGTTTATCTTACACCAGCTTCGGCCATTTTGAAATGGTTTGTGCGTACTAAACTTTTGTTCTGTTACAGGTTTAAACCAGTTTCTGATCACTTAAACCAGTATATGTATAACTTCTGTCCCTAGCCAAGAAGTGTGGGAGGTAAGCACAGCAGTATGACAGGATACTTAAAGTCACATATATACACTCAATCACTCCTTTAAATGTTTACTGATTTACATAGCCAAGGATAGATTCATTTCACCCGGTTAGTTTGTATGAAATTACCTCATAGCTAAATGTGGATTATCTTTCCCTCCACCTTAACCTGGTTACATGCCACTGATTTTAGACCCAAAGTTACCTTGCTCTCATGCTCAGATGAGAATGGCAGAGGTTTACGTGCAGTTATCTAGTGTAAGAGACTTATCGTTGTCTATTCTGAACTTTGATTTGCTTGTTTGCTTTCCTAGAAGCTATGTCAGCTTTGATGTTAGCAATTCTTCACTTACTAATGTACACAATTATCACTTGTAATCAATTCCACCCACAGCATATGGTTATCTTTTCAAAAGAAATTTGCAATCAAGTTCTGCTGCAAGTTGAGAACTGTCATGTAATTAGATAGAAGGAATACAGATCACTGAGACCTGAGGATAAAAAAATATAGCCAACAAACACAAATATTTTAAAAATGAATAAAGTGTCATAGGAAAATATTAATTAGGACAGAGCAAAAGGATATATTGTCATTTCATCAGAGAGGTTATCAACTTACAGAACTGTTTTGAAAATACACAGGAGGCAAATTTTAAACCACTTATTATTTACTCAGCACACTAGAACCAGCACTTAATGAGGTACTTTAGTTTACCAAGTGAATGTTGAATAAATATTCACAAATCTTTATTTTCAATTCATTTTTATTCAATAGTCATTACTGGCACCGAATTCACTTGAAATAATCTAAAAAAGCAAACAGAGATTTAGTAAAAAAAATAGTAAAAAAACTATGTCCTATAGTAAAAAAACATGAAATTTTCTTATAAGGAAAATTATTAGATAGGCATT